TTCAGGCGATGCCCATATATATATATATATAGATAGCAACTAGGTTGAGGGGCTTGGGGACTAGATGGACACCCTAGGTTCGGCTGTTGTATGTAATCCTCTGTGGAAAGCCAGCGGCAAATGTCCCCTGCGCAAACAATGTAGTGACAACCCAGGAGATCCAAGGTATGTGCTCAGTTGAGAAACAAACGGTGCAGGGAGATAAAGCTGAAGTACAGACATGGACAATAATCCCTATATAACCCCTATATAATCCCTATAGTTTCCATTTTCTTTTCCACTATCCCAATATTACCCCAATAGAACCCCTACATAATCCCTATAATTCCTATAGTTTCCATTTTCTTTTCCACTATCCCAATATTACCCCAATAGAACCCCTATATAATCCCTATAATTCCTATAGTTTCCATTTTCTTTTCCACTATCCCAATATTACCCCAATAGTTGCTGATTCAGTTCTCGGAAGTGCAGATTCACTCCGCGATGGTTTCTCTTGGAGGAGGTGTGGCAGCTGACTACGCAGGCAACACGAAACCACGACCCCTAAAACAACTGCGCGGACTGCCTGCGCACAGCGCAGCCATGAAGGAAGCCCTGACAACAGTGTTGGCTGGGCAGACCTCCTTGAGCAAAGGACTGGGAAAATTGTTGCAGCTCTTCACGGAAGGCCATGTTAGCACCAACTAGTCCGACGAGATTTCTCCTCAAGTTGATGCTTACCAAGCGCAGTCGCAAGCTCAAGCGTGCTTAGGAACAGCCTTTTGCTTCACACGTTCAATGCTTGCCTGCCGCGTGACATCCAGAGATCGCCTCAATACTCAACACCTGGGCCTGACAGAAGACCTTCTCAACAACGGATACCGCAGGATACCGGATTCCTCAAACTTTGTAGATGACAGGAACCAGACCACGAACGCATCTCGCAGGTCCCTGGCAATACGTCTACCCAATCCCATGATGCTATGTTGATGCTTAGGCTAGTCTAGCTTCCTTACAGGGAGCATTGAGAAATTGATGCAGGCCTGGCTCGTGAATCAGCCCTTGCATACTACCGGCCAAACAGAACACACTAACATCCAGCTGAGCATCTGCATGATGGAGTAGCCCAGGAAGTTTCCAATGGACATGATCACGACGAAGACCACCTACGCACGAGGTAGTTTTCCAAAATAAGGGGACCTCAATATTAGACCCTAATATACTATAGTCCTTATTATGGGGACCCCCAGAAAGGTACCCTTAATTTTGGGAAACCCCCACAATGAAGGGTGGAAACAGGTGCTCCGCAAGAGGCCTGAGTCTCAAACTACTTGCGAGCAACTCGAACCTTACAAGCTGCCTTTAGACAGCCACCGTGCTCCAAAACCTTGGTTGTGATCCCATGTGGGGTCTTCCAAGAATTGGTGGCCTTTTGGCGGTCTGTATAGCACGGATGATCAGGGTGACCCTGAGTCTGGAATCCATCCAACCCTTACCCTCGAAAACGCTGATGCGCTAGCAAAGCAACCCCAAAACAGCAAGCCCTTAAATCTTTAAACCCTCAACGCTAAGCCCAAAACCTCAGACCCTAAACCCTACAAACCCTATAAACCCTTTCAACCCTAAACCCGACATAAGCCCCATATATCCCTTATATCCCAGCCTAGAACCCTAAGCCCTGGCCTGCCTGCATCGGCACCTGCTGCTCCACGGTGGCCAAGTCCGAGACAAGCGCACGGTGCGGTGTTTGAAGCACATTCATGGTCACCTTAGGTTTAGGGCTTAGGGTTTACAGTGTAGGTATATAGATGTGTATATATATATATATGGATATAGGCTTCCGGTTCTTGATTACGTACGTGGTCACCCTAGAAGCAGGTTTGAAGCTAGGTACGGTAGGGCCGGTAGGGATATAAAGGCGCTTACGGTGTGGGACTTAGGGGAACCTTAGTGTAATGGGGTTATCGGATCCTCCAGGGACATATAGGTATATTGGGGTCTTAATACAGGGATGAACTGACACGTTGGGTCCATGTGACTGGGGTTTATCAAAAGCCCGTTTGAGAGAGTCTTTATGACCAACAACAACAACCTACTCCCTCGAGGCTACACGTCGTCCCTGAGCCGCACCTTCTTCAATCCGTCTTGCATTGATTACCTTCTTGGGTGTTATGCAGAGCTTAGTGTTTCGGAGATATTTTTGGGTTTGGGCTCGCGTGGGACTTGCCAGTGCTCAAAACGGAGGGTTTTTGGCATGCTTCGTCTGGAATTATGAATTAGGTGGACCGCCCACCCTGTAATAGTGATTGTAAGGGATTATAGAGATTATAGTGAGGGTCTCTCATATCCCGACTATACCACTATTACTATTACAGGGTGGGGGCCCACCTCAATTATGAACGTTAAATAGCAAGAGGCGGTGAGCGTGCTAAAGCATGTCAGAGTCTTCGGCCTGCTAAACTTCCTCCAAGCCCCAGCCCTAACATCAGGGAACAAGTCCGAACCCACATTATCAAAGCCCTCTCCATACACTGGATTCCAACCCTTTCACCCCAAGATACGGACCTAATTAAATCAAATTAGAATCCACCTTAAAAGTGCATGACAGTATACTTCAAACAAACGTCCTAATGGAGTGTGCAATGTCGCTTTCTTCAGGCTTCTACATTACTCGCTGCCCCCCTCACAACGTCAATCGCAGCCACATCCATGACCCAGTACATGGGAACGGCGAAGCCAATCCTTGGGTTCAGAATTCCGGGCTGGTATTAGTGTGAGTATCAGCAATAGTATTAGTGTTATCATGAGTATTACAAGGAATGTAGGCAACATTGGTAATTAGTTGTCGCCTGTAAGCCCCATATGAGCTATATTCTAAACTCCTAGTATCCCCCTTAAAAGCCCCTATAGTAGTCCACTATGTAATTCCCTATAAAACCCGTCTTTAAGGAGTTTAGACAATAGCTCATATGGACCCGTTTTCCATTTCACCTAACATTTTCTTTCTCCACATTCTTATGAGACTAGTAGGTCGCAGCCTTCGACCCCAGAATGCAAGACTCGCCGGTCCTACCCCAGTCCCAAAGAAACGCTAACTTCCACACCCTCTTATGCGTACAATTGGGTCATCATTTGGGGCGATGTGTGCCCCAATCCCCTTACTGCTGATCCCAATTATGGTGGATTTGACAATTGGGGTAAGCCTGAACCCGAACCTCTGAGTATATGTATGTATGTACGTACGTACGTACGTACGTACGTACGCATGCATGCATGCATGCATGCATGCATGCATGCATGTATGTATGTATGTATGTATGTATGTACGTATGTGCGTATGCATCTATGTATGTATGTATGTATGTCTGTCTGTATGTATGTATGTATG